GGGGGGGGGGGGGGAGAGAGAGAGAAAGGAGGTTGCTCTGATGCATGTAGCGCATCCCAGGAATAAGCAGGGCCGGTGCCTCTGGTTCTCCATTGCTTTGCACCTTGCGTAATTATTGACATTTGTGTAAAGAGGTTGCAAAATGATATCGTATAACTAGGGCCATTGCAGGTCGAAGCAAGATACGATTACTGCTGTAGGTTCCACCACTGAGGTTATCTTTTCTCCTGATAACTTCATCTCGGCTTAACTGTTATAGATTTTCTCCGGCGAGAGACATCAAACAGATTTGGTTTCTAAGATACCAAAAGATACGTCTTCAAATCAACGTTTTACTGTTCATGCACAAAAAGCCGCACAAATGAAATTAGTCTTCTGTGAAAACAGCTCTAGCTGTGATTTCTGGGCAAACTGGAGTTTCACCACGTTCGTATTGGTATACTCTTAAAATAAAAATAACCCACCTATGAAGGAAAGAAGTTGTAACTCCTGGTGTAGCACTTTTTTGTAAAAAATGTCATTACAACTGCAGGGAAATTCAGATTAATTTATGCGATGTATTTGTGTGCTTGTGATAATCCATCTTAAATTCAAGGAGCAAGCTCTTAATTCTAAGCCTTGTGATACATTATAGTCTGAAATTCAGGCACTGAGAATATAATAATTTATTAATAGGATAAAATGATCAGGAAGTATTAAAAGATCTGAATTTTTAATACTCTTATTAGCCTTTGTGCAAGAGATGAATCAGTTGTCTTGATGTATTAATAACATAATACTGCAGATGTTCACTCTTCGTAAGACTATATTGTAAACTAACTAGTCGGGACAGGCTGGTTAAGATACAGGATATAAAATACTACTCTGATAGCTGTATTAACTCCCAGACTATAATTTTTGAGGCTGGCGGATGACAATTGCTAAACAAGTCTCAGTGATGACCCATCCAGAGCTACTCAACAGCTGTTAATGGGAACATCCTGTTGCAAGAACAGCTGTAGGCTGGGTAGACGTAAAGCCAAGAGAGGTATCTAAAACTTCTTCAGATGAGCGTGGAGGTTTACCCAGAATGTAAATTTGGATTTTAGTTACGTAAAATAACATCTATTTGTTTGATTTGTTATTGCAGTTCTAGAAAGGTTGAAGAGGATGAATATGAAGACGGAACATCTAACCAAAAATGGGTTTTAGCTCCAAAAACACAAGACACAGATGTGACACTCATACTAAACAAGCTGTTGAGAGAGTATGACAAAAAGCTACGGCCAGATATTGGAAGTAAGTACTCCCTTCTGCACAAGTGAGGAAAAGCATCTGCGGGTGCAGAAAAGACATTATGTTATATTTTGGTTAGCGTGCACAAGTGTCTGGCAAAGCGGAGATTAAGTTTTTTTGGCTGAAGTTAATTTCCAAGTCAATTTTTCAAAAATGCTAATTCTCATGGGAAGATGTGGTGGTAGCTTAGCGTGCTAAACTCTGGTTTGCTTGTACAGAGCTTGCATAGAGATACGGGAAGTCTAGCTCCGAAGTATTCAGCAGGTCTTTGGCGGAGTTAGGAACATACTTATCTCTTTTGTCATCCGATCCATGCATATGAAAAGCTCATGCTCGGAGGGGTGATCAAAACCCCAGCATATTAGAAACAAAAAGTAGGACACAGCAAGAGAAGAATGTGCATCCACTCCCCTCAAAAGGTGATCAGGAGAGTTGTGTTCCTTAATGCTGAGGAGGCGGCACTAGGATTTGCCTGAGCGTAGAGCAACTCTAGAGATTTTCTTCCCCAAACCGGCAGACATCTTATCTCCAGAGAAATGTGATAGAATGGAAGCGTCTTGTGGGCAGTACTGCTACGTATAGGTATAAAATTTAGATAAGAGCCAGTAGGTACCTGCATATAACCATTTTGAGCTATTTTCCTTTCTTTTTTTTTAAATTGGTATAGTGAGGTTGTGTGTTTCAAACTTGTGATTATACCGCGTTTGCTTTGTTTGCATCCTTAGATCAGAATGGCTGTAGCACAACAACAGTTCAGTTTGTTCACAGCAAGTTTGTATGACAGAAATGGCAGGAAATTTGTCATTTACGTTTACTGCACCTTGCACATACTTCAGAATGAACTGGGAATGGGGAAAGCTCAAAACAACCACCTAATATAGTTTGCTTTTCCTAAATTTTTTGCAGAGATTAGAGGGAGAATTCCTACCAGTGATTATAAGTGAAAATAAAGTGTTTGTTTTTTTTTTTTTTTCCCATGGCTATTACTTTGATTTTTCGTAGTATTTACAAAGACCATATTTGATAGATGTGTCTGTTTTTAACACAGAGTAACATCTATCTCTGTCTACTTAGTTTGTCTTACTGGATTTAGCTGATCTTTAGTATCTGATAGAAAAATGCTTTAATGCAGTTCCCCACCCATATCAACATCTGGAAGACATTCTCAGACAAATTTTTTATTTCACTTTGTACACAGTGTCCTCAGATCACTGACTTCAGGCAGAGGAAATTATGTTATGCCTTTGTGGGGCAAAGTAATCATTCAAAGTCCCCATGTCAGTTGCCATAAAATCAGTAGAGGTCAGACATATCTTACAGCACTGGAAAATCATTGTTGCCAAAATAATTCCTTTTGTCTCTGCACAAACTTTCATAAATCCTGTTTTAGAGAAAGGAGTTAAATTACACAGCTCCTCATATATCGTACCAAACAGAGATTTTGCAGTTCTCGACTACATCTATCTATTTCTATCAAGCATCTCGGTCCTATGCCATTTTTCTCTTTGATAGGAATCTGGCTATTTCAGAACTTGAGCTGAGTGTTGTTCAGACGCTAGAGAAGTTAGTTCACCTCTGCTTCCTTCCCTGGTCCCTCTTCCCTCCTCTCCTACCTTTGATGCAGATAAATAACGTTGCCCTTTTGAAGCTGAGGAGCTGCTGCATTTGTCAAGGAGGGCATGAGGGGAATGTTAGAGGAATCAGGCATTACGTCTTAACTTCCCTGAATTGCTGGCTGGTTCCTCACACACAAGCACATCTTCCTTTCCATCTGGGAGAAAGTTATCCTCCAGACTAGGTGGTTAACTTGCAACTGAACTGTGTTCCTGCCCTGAGGGTCCCAGTATTAATAAAAATCAGTTAGAAGCATAATACATATCAGTTAAAGCACTAGGGGAAAAAAAATAGTTGACCAGGTAACGTAGAGCATACAGTAAGAAACTGCAAGTTTTGAAATGTATAGAAAGCAGGGAATAAACCAGTGGAGGAAGAGAGAAGTGATTCTCAGAATCAAGTAGAAGTGCAGCCAATAAAAGACGTTGAGGGTTAAATCCAGGGCTGACATGCAGTCAGATACTTATTAGGGCCTTTACATTCGTGCAGTGCTGCCTGTAAGTGAATCGGGTGCCCCACAGGACAGGGGACATTCACTGTTTCATGCCACATTGCTCTTCGCTCAGTTTTCCAATCCTTTATTGCTAAGCCACAATTTCTAACAGTGGATCACTTCAGCAATGCTCATGAAGAAATGATCTTATCTCTGAATGCAGGCAGAAAAGTCTAGGAAAATACTGGCTTCTTTGCACATTCAAGGGTTAGAAGTGCAATTATTAGATCACTTGTGAACACCCTTTTGCAAGCCAAAGGACATGGGGAGAAGGAGAAGACTGTGGCAAATAGAAGGCATTGAAGTGCGTGCTGGCCTAGGCAGTGACTCTTCTGTGGACTTCCCAGGGCAGCTGATGTTTTGGCTAGCTCAGGTATGTCCAGGTACTACCTGGCACTGTACAGGCATACTCTGGGTGCCCACTTGCCTTACTGTGGGCACTGAGTACTTCACTAATCGAGTAACCCCCAGGTCAGGAGTATACCCATCAGTGCATGAGCTCCTGTGGAACAGACACTCGGCCACACTCCTTCCTTGTCCCCTGCCCAGCCTCTCTAAACCACTGTAAAGACCATGTAGGTCCATGCTAAGATGTGAGGCCAGGACTTGCTCTTTCCTTTCTTTTTTTAAATTATGCTGGTTTTTACTTGGCTTAGGCTTTCATGTTGGTCAGATCACATGCTCAAAATACACTCAGCAGTGCAGGCATCACCTGCAAGATTCCGAGCCAGGATTTTGCAAGAGTGGGCTGAACAACCTAAGTATTAGGCAAAATAGTAACCCTGTGAAGGCTATCAGCAACTTGACACCCTATCAGGACCTGTCTAGCTAAAAGGAGCCTTTCGTCTTTAGAAACAAAGCAGTGTTCTATCAGCAGGGGAATGTCTGACTGCATCCCCCGTGGCCACACACTTGGCAGAGTTCTTGTCTCCATAAATATTACAGCTTGTGAGGGTTTTCATTTTAATGGTGGCATCTGGCAGTTTTCCATTATACCACAGAACATGCATGCCTTTTGGAATTTAAAAAATAAAAAAAAAACAAAACAAAAAGAGAAAAGAAAGCACCTCACACTGAACAGCTTATACCGGTACTGATTAGATCAAAAAGAAGTGTTTTACAGAGACAAGGCATCTTTTCCACCCACTTTTTACCAGCTACAATTCTAGGGCTGAGAATCGTGGTCTGTTGCGTGGTATAAAAGGCACCAGTCCCAGATAACAAGTAAACCTGTTCCAAACTATGAAGGTCTTAAAATCTCTTCCGTAGGCAGTTACTCTGGTGTTTGTTTTGAAGTCCTTTGAAGTGAATACCCGTTCAATGGATATGCAACATCTTCTAAGTGCAGTAAGGCTTACTACCCTGCAAGACTGAATTCCCACCCCCCTCTCGCCCCCCATCTCTCATTGACTAAGTTCTGGCCCTAAAATTTTACTTCCTCTTTATTAATAAAATGAGAACAGAAATAATAAGCAAGCCAACAGGCCACAGAGTAGAACGATGATAATTACAGCTAGAAAAAAAATCTCATTCTTCCTTAGGTTCTATCAATAAACCATTTTTTTGCCATTGCTCTATTTTTGATTAACTGATTTAAAATTTAAGTTACATTAAAAAAAAAAAGCAGCAAACCACAGGTAAATTAAATAGCACATGACAAAACATATTTCCTTCAAAGTCAGTTTAATGAAACCTTCCCTCTGAGCTTCCTTAATGGACGGCTTAGTCCACAGTGGAGTCCTGGAAAATAAAAGTTACTTTTATTACCCTATATTGTTTCACATTTATCTTCATATGGAATGTAGGTTGCCTTAAAAAGACAGAAAGTTTGTCACAGTGTATTCTTCCAAAGTGAAAGTTTTGTCAATCACATTCCCCGAGTGAGCTTTACATGTGGAAGACAATACGCTTTTTCTTTCATTGTGAAAGTCACCTCCCCCATCAAAAAAGTTAGTATGTGAGAGATTTTTGAAATGTGACATTAGTAGCGGGAGGAAAAAAATCTCACCCTAGACCAGGCTCAAAGCTCATGCATTTGGAGCATGAAGAAGATTAAGTCTTAAGAGTTGCCTTTTGGTAGCTGGTTTGCTTACCTCAAAGAAAAGATCTTTCTGCCTCTTGTTCATTAAGAAGCAATAAGTAAAGTGGGCCAAAATTTCAGTGATGACAAGGCAATAATAATGTTAAGATTAGTTCATAAACTGTGCTAAACTCTAAGCTTCCCTCTTTATCTCAACCTGCTGACATGAAAGAAAACAATTTATTTCACCGGTAATTTTTAGAGAATGAAACTATTCCTTGAGCATCTCTAATAAGCAGTCAGTTACCTCAGCACTTAATTTAAAGTGCAGAGGATATTCTAAACCTCACACCCTGCAGTCTGACCAGGTGCCTTCCTGCCTTCCTGTGGTTACCTACCCTTTTCCCCCAGCTCCTGAAATACCTTCCCCAGAGCACAACAGGACTAGAATAAGGAGTTAAATGCACTTGTTAGGTACAAACAGAACTGCTGTCCACTACCTTTCCCCATAGTGTTCCTAATGTGAGAAAGTGATATTAGAAAAGTGATAGATTTCTGTTTCAGCATTTTTCAAAAATGCCTAAAAAAATAATAGGAAAAAAACATAGCGGTTATTTCCCTCGCATTTCAGGCTGTACCATTGATCTTCACAGTTACTTATACTCTGCCAGGGAAAGTTGAATACTTTCATTTAATTTCTGTTTCAGAGGCTGGAGCAAAATAATGCTGGTAAAAGAAAAGCCAACTAGAAGGGACTACACTTCAGCGTACTCAAACTACCCAGGGAAATTGAAAGTAGAGTGTGATCATACATATTAGAAATAAAGCTAAAATAAGGTAAAAACCTGAATCAAGGAATAGAAAGTTACAAGATAG